GTTGGTGACACCGGAGAGCGGAACTCAAGTGGAATCGGGGTGGAGAAGAAGGTCCAACGCCACCCCCAAGGTCCATAAGAGTGAAGATGCACCAAGACACCACCACCGTCTTGGCCACGTGGCCTCCATCCCACACAGGAGGCAGGAGGACACCACTGAGGACCTTCTCCGTAACTCCTACATGGCCCAAGCCACTTTTCCGTGGCCTTTTATTTTCTTCCCTTCCCGGGAGCATGATCCAGTTTGGCTTCTCTACCCCCAGGAATGGCTCGTGATGGACATGGGGCCTTCGACTTCACCTCCATCTTCATCCTCACGGCCGGGCTGCTGCTGAGCGCCCAACCGCTGGCACGAGCTCAGGCCACGGGCAACGAAGGCGACGAGCGTAAGTCCAGCCGGTGGCCAAAGAAGGGGGACGGGGCCACCACGGGGGTTTCATGGGCATCTCGTAGGAGGAACGTGGCTGGTGGTGGGATGGGGTGGGATGAGACGAGGGACGGAAAGAGGAGGCTTAATCCCGACGGGAAGAGCTTCTTCCTTTCTTCTGGCCTCCAAAACGATGCTTTGCCGAAGGAGAAGAAGAAGAACGGATGGGTCTCGGTTACGGTGGGAAGAGGAGTCCCGTGGTTTCCAACTGCTGGATGCCGAGACCTCAGATCTGACCTGATTTTGGTGCCTTTTGACCCAAATCCGTGTCCCTGGAGTGGCACTTGAAATGCCCCGGGGGTCCCGCGGAGAAGGAACGAGGTCGTGTCCAGACACAACGGCCGGATAATTCACCCCGTGACCATCCAACAACTGTTTTCTGGGGAGGGTTGATCACTTGGGGTGGAGGCACCATCATCTTGGTTGGAGCTTCCCACTTGCTAGTGGCCTCTGGAAATCCAGGGGACGGATTCCACCACGGGACAGGATCCACCATCTCCTCCATCTCCCACCCATCGACCTCCGTTGACGGATCCCCTTCCGCCATGGGAGCTCAGGGAAGCTGCTGAGATGCCTTCAAAGAGGTTGGTGGCATCTAAACCACCTTAAATCTAATCTCTCGAGGTCCAAGGACGGCTCTTCGGGATGACCAGGGATGAGCCTCTGTGGGAAGACGGTTCCCAACCTCCGACTTTGGCAGCGTCACCGGGACCGGATAGTGGCGAATTCCAAGCGGCTCAAAATCCGGGCGTCTCCCATCACCGCCCGTCCCAGACTTGTAATCCCCACCAGTACAAACCAGTCCCGCTGGTAAATTCCAATGTCCCAACCATCGGTGGAAGGCGATTGGAGATGGGACGGCCCGGAGCCATCTGGCACGTGACGCCGTCGACGTCGGCTCTTGGCCGAGGAGGTCAACACTCGGAGTCGCGACTTCTCCTCAAAATAACCCAAAAGGTCCCGGATGCCTCAGACCAACCCCAGGATGACTCAACCTCGACCCCTGTGTGGACACTTTGGAGAATGAGGACTTGGTGTCTCCTGCTTGGAGGTCCTACTGCCTGGTTTTGGGGTGGGAGGGAGGACTTTTTTTCTTGAAAAAACACCTTTTTTTGGTGCTGATTCTCTTTTTTTTTTTTAAATCTCATCTCCTGCCACTCAGGGACAACTCAGCATCAAAGGTCTTCTCCAGTTGCCTTGGCAGAGGTGCCACCTGAGGTTTGCCTGCATAGGGGTGTAGGTGGAGGCCAGGAGGGATGCCAGGAGCACATCGCCAGGCTTCGGATGCCCGTTGTGTGGACGCTCAAGTGGAGCTTGGCATGGTCGTGGTCTTGAGATGATCACGGCCTTGAGACAGTCACAGCCTTGAGAAGGTCATGGTCTTGAGATGTTCATGATCCTGAGATGGTCATGGCCTTGAGATGGTCATGGCCTTGAGATGGTCACGATCTTGAGATGTTCACGATCCTGAGATGGTCATGGTCTTGAGATGGTCATGGCCTTGAGATGGTCATGGGCCTGAGATGGTCACTGGCCTGAGATGGTCACGGCCTTGAGATGGTGACAACCTCAAGATGGTCACTCTACAAACCTCGTTACTCATAACTATCCCGACAACGAGAGGGGGACACCTCATCTTGGAGACACCCGGTGTCCGATGGGGTGGGATGGCTTCTGGGAACGATCCCTCCCTCTCTCACTGAGGCCCAGCAATGTTGGGCACCTCCAGCCGACGCCCATCCTCCACAGCCACCTAAAGCCAAGGGAGATGCCACCAGGGACGGGAAAGACGGCGCGATGCGGGTCAGAAGGGAGGACTTGGAGCACTGAGAAGTCCTTTTTTGGTATGATATGACCAAAAAATGGCCCAAACCAACCTGTTGGCTTCCAACTCTTCCTTCTCTATCAACCTGATGGAGACATCTCAGTTGCGTAAGGACTTGGCTCCTTGAGGAAACTCCTCTCATGGATTCGTCTCTGCGTCAGGGATTCTCCAGCTTGAGTTGACGCAACCGGCTCCTTCGTCGGCTCCAAGAGTCCCAGGTCCAGGAGCCACCCAGGAGGTAGGAGCTGGTCCTACAGGCTTTCTCACCAAGCATGGAGGAAGGACTCAGCTCTTCTTGGGATGTGTCACCTCCATTTGGGAGATCTCCGGTTGGGAGGAATCTCCAAGGCGGAGCGGATGTGATAAGGTGACTTCCTGCGACGCCGTGATTGGTGCAACCCAACGTGACGGACTGGTCCAGGGAGGTCTTCTGGTGAGGTGGCCAGCCTCGGTTCTCCACTGGGATGGGTGGTGAGGTCGTGGAGTTATGGTTCCACCAAGCAGCACTGGGAGAAACAGGACCTTCAAGGGTTCCAGACCCCAAATCATCACTTTTTCACCGAAAAATATCCCAAAATTCCAAAATTCACCAAAACTCCAAAAACAGGACCCCGGTAGGGTCAGGAAATCTGGGGGAAAAAAGTGGATTTAAGATGATTTTGAGGATTCTGAGGGAGCCGAAGGTGGAAGAACGTCCTTTCCTGTTCCGCCCGTGTTTCCCTTTTTTATTTCGTTTCCCTTTTGTCCGTAATTTCCTTAATTTCTCCTGAATTTTCTCTCTCAGTTCCTTTTTCATCTTAATTTCCTTCTTCTTGAATTTCCTTTTTCTCCTTAATTTCCTCTTGCATTTCCCTTTTCTTTCATTTCCTTTTTTTCCTTAATTTTCCTTTTCCCCTTAATTTTCTCTCTCATTTCCCTTTTCCTCTTCGTTTCCTTTTTCTTCCATTTATCTTTTCTCCTTAATTTTTCTCCTTGATTTCCCCTTTTCTTTAATTCCCATTTTTGATTTTCCTTTTTTTTATTTCCCTTTTCCCCTTAATTTTCTCCTTCATTCCCCTTTTCTCCTTAATTTTCTCTTTCATTTCCTTTTTGTTTCGTTCCCCTTTTTTCCTTATTTTCCCTTTTTCCCCTTAATTTTCTCCTCCATTTCCTTTTTGTTTCGTTCCCCTTTTTTCCTTATTTTCCCTTTTTCCCCTTAATTTTCTCCTCCATTTCCCTTTTCTCCTTAATTTCTTTTTTTCTCCAATTTCCCTTTTCTCCCATTTTCCTCTTTTCCTTCTTTTCCCTTTTCCCCCCGAATTTTCTCCCCCATTCCCGTTTTTCCTCCCTCCAGTGCCGGACGAGGACGAGTCCCGCATCATCGGCGGGCGGCCATGTTCCATCAGCCAACGGCCCTTCCAGGTGGCCCTCATCAAGCGGGGCCAGATCCTCTGCGGGGGCAGCCTGGTAGCGGCCCAATGGGTGCTGACCGCCGCCCACTGCCGCCAGCCAATCAGGTGAGTCCCTGACCACGTGCCCCCGTGGCATCCGATGAGCCGACGGCTCTTTCCCGGGATCCAGGTGGGTTGTCCGGGTCTTGGTGTCCAGATGTTGGCACTCCCAGAAGGTGATGCTTCCAAATGGTTGTACCCCGGAGATGCCCCAGATGTTGGCATCTCTCCAGATGTGGTCTCCAGGTGTGAACATCTCCAGATCTTGGTGGCCAGAAGTTGGTAACACACAACCTGGTACCTCCAGAGGTATCCAGAAGTTGGTATGGCCAGATATATCTACTCCAGATGTTACCTCCAGATGTGGTGGCCCACGGCCAGTAGCTCTAAACATAGATGTTCCAGGCATTGATATCTCCAGATGTGGTGACCCACGGCCAGTAGCTCTAGACGTAGACGTTCCAGGAGTTGGTATCGCCCAATGCGGAGGCCCATGGCCAGTAGCTCTAGACATAGATGTTCCAGGCATTGGTATCTCCAGATGTTGGCATCTAGAGGTCAACAAAGACATGGCCAACACAGAGACCGGAGGACCTGACGTGTCCTCGGCAGGGTGACAACCTCCACCTCTGAACTTCTAAGGACACCACTAAGTGGAGCAGGTTCCCACCCAGCCAAGTTTCTCCAGCTTCTCCTCAAGGTGTCCTCGTGGTGGCCCCAAGGTGGCCCTGTGGTGGTCCCGTGGTGTCTCCACGGTGGCCCCATGGTGTCCCCATGGTGTCCAAGAAGCTGGACCTTTCGGTGGGAGCTCAGGGCAACATTGCTGAGATGTCGCAGGTGGGACCCCCCGGCATCAGGACGATGATGTCACGGAGCTGAAGTCAAGACATGCAATGGTCTCCTATGGAGACCATCTCCCATGGAGACTAGCAGATGACCCTGGGGGTACCTGAGCCATCTAAGAACTCTTGGAGGAGAACGGGCTGGTGGATCCTCAAGACATTAACGTCTTCTGCTGGTCTCCTCTCCAAGGGAAGAGAGTTAAGGTGGTCACACGGCCCATATCACCTCAAGAAGCTTCACAGGCGCTGTCTTCACCACCACCTTGATGGGCAACCCTTGAGGCCAAGGGTTGACGTGTCTCCTCCGGTGGCACCAGCGTTGATTTTCTTGACCTTCTTCCCCGGGGCAGGGATCTGAAGGTGTTAATTGGGACGGCGTCGTTACGGGGCGGGACGGGAGAAGTGAGGACCATCTCCAAGGTCCAGGTCCATCCGGCCTACAACCCCCGCAAGAACGACAACGACTTTATGCTCCTGAGGTTGAACAGACCCGTCCAGTTCAGCAGTGACATCAAGAAGATCCGGTTGGCCACGAGGTGTCCCACGGACGGCATGAAGTGCAGCGTCTCCGGTTGGGGCACCACCAGGTCTCCTGGAGGTAACCAACTTGCGAGGGTAGACCTCGGTGGAAGAGGCGGGAAGGCGACTGATTGGGCGCGGGGAGAGGGCTCGGGTGACCTCATCAGCTGGGAAAAGAGTAAGGGCTGCCCTGATGTCACCTTCCCCCTGCCCAATGAGCAGCTCCTCATGGAGAACACCCTCCAGTTGGGTTTTCCCTTCAAGGTTCTCTTCCACGTTGACGTACCCACCTCCGATGGAGTCACCTCCATCGGCCACGTCTCACAGAACCCCACCGAAAGCGTCACGAGGTCTACCCAGGCCTCAGCGGTGAGGGTGGGGTGGGGGTGGTCACCCCTTCTCACACCTTCTCACCCTCTTTCTTCTCCGGCTCCACCTCGTTCGGCAGCAAAGCTGCCCCAGAACCTCCAGTGCGCCGCCATCGAGACCTTCGGGAGGGAGAAGTGCGCCAGAGCCTACGGCAACGCCGTCACCGCCAACATGTTCTGCGCCGGCGTCCCCCAGGGGGGCGTCGATTCCTGCCAGGTGAGAAGAAGGGGGTGGTGGTGGTGGAGGGGGTTGAGTGATGTGGGGTGGCTCGGAGGTCATGTGCAAGGCGAGACGGGGCCGTGGAAGTCGGGTTCCTTCAAACCAAGATGTTAAAGCGGGGAACGGCCATGGCACGTGAGATTTGGGTTCCACCACCATTATCTCCAGCCCAAACCATTAGAGCAGGGAAGGGCCATGGAACGTGAGGTTTGGGTTCCACCACCATTATCTCCAGCCCAAACCATTAGAGCAGGGAAGGGCCATGGCATGTGGGTGGGTTCATACGAGATTGAGGTTCTCCACATCTACCACATGCTTCAGTCATGGAGCTGGAGATGAGCTCTGGCACGTGGACAAGTCCATGCAAGGTTTGGGTTCCACCACCACCATCTCCAACCCAAACCAATAGAGCAGGGAAGGACCACGGCACGTGTATGGGTCCATGTGAGGTCTGGGTTCCCACCACCCACTTTCTGCCTGATCCATGGAGCTGAGGATGGGCCACGGCACATGGATGCACCCGTGTGAGCTTTGGGTTCTCACCACCCACCTTCTTCTTGACTCATGGAGATGGGGCATGGCACGTGGATGGGCCCAAGTGAGGTTTGGTTTCCCACCACCCACCTCCTGCTTGATCCATGACGCTGTCGTGGCACGTGGATGAACCCACGTGAGATTTGGGTTCCCACCAATGACCTTCTACTCAGTCCACGGAGCTGAGGTAGGGTGGTGGCATGTGGACAGATCCATACAAAGGTTTGGGTTCCCACCACCCACCTTCTGCTTGATCCATGGGACTGCGTCATGGTACGTGGATGGGTCTATACAAGGTTTGGGTTCCCACCACCAACCTTCTGCTTGGTCCACGGAGCTGGGGCTTGGTCGTGGCACACAGATGTGTCCATATGAGATCTGGGTTCCCACCACCCAACTTCTACTCAATCCATGGCGCTGGGTCGTGGTACATGGCCGAATCCACGTAACTTTTGGGTTCCCACCACCCACCTTCTACTCAGTCCATGGCATTGGGTCATGGTACATGGCCGAATCCACGTCAGTTTTTGGGTTCCCACCACCCGTCTACTCAATCCATGGCACTGGGTTGTGGCACATACTCGTCCACATGAGGTTTGGGTTCCCACCA